TGGAAGGAAAGAGTTGAAACAACGGAGAAGCTGAAAGCAGAGAAACAGCAAAAGAGATCCGATAATATTGCTGAAAAGATTAACCAAAAGAAGATGCGTAAGATTGCAAAGAGGGAAAAGAAGCTACTACGACCTGGGTTTGAAGGTCGCAAGGAAGGTTTTATCAATGAAGGGGGGGACTAAGGTGGTTCACTTATATCTTTTCTTAGCCTCAGTCTTTGATACAACAATATCATATTATGATAGAAATGGCTTATAAATCATACGGAAACACAAGGAATATGCAATTAAAGGAGTCTTTTACTACCTCATCTCTGCTTTTCCTCTACTATCCTGACTCCGATGATGCTAAAATGAATTCTAGCTGTTAGCTGCAAAATGTCTATTGCTGATTATTATTATTATTACTATTATTTATGGCCATGTGTGCCCTTCAAAAGTTGCAATCTGCTTAAGGTTCTATATGTAACAATTTATATTCTGTTAACTTAATGTCAATGATTTCTAAGAGTAATGTTGCAGAAGTTAACCTGTCTCATATATTGCTATTTCTCATGCATCAAACTTTCATAAAACAGTGTCTTTACATCTCAGAAGTAAATTTCCTCATCCCCATAACCCTGAAACTCCTAAGATTCGTGTCATTCATTTTGCTGCCTTTTTAGGTTTAGTTTGATCAACAGAGGCTGCAAAAAATAAAAAAATAAAAAATAAAAAATAAAAAATAAAAAATGAAGAAGAAAGAAGAAGAGGAAAGAAGTAATATAGACTGTTATGGAGTTAGGAGCACTTTTTCTTAGCCAGCTTGGAGGCAGTTGAGTCATGTTTTCCACAAGGAAAATAAACCTGATTGAAACAGGGTGTTTCTTATGGATTTGGTATCTCTTTTTTAAGTTCTGTTGGTGAAAAATTAAAGCTTGGCCAAATCTCCAAGAACCAAACTAAACCATAGAAAATCCACCATTACAGAACTGTAGAATCATTGCATTTATGATGTGTTGCACACAAGATGCTGCAAATCCTTCAACATAAACGACGTACAAAAGACAACAAAAAAAAAAAGCGGGGGGGTGGGCACTATCTCTACTTACACAACAAACTAGGGAGACTGAAAATGCAAGAGATGAGGAAAACTCCAAATCAAGAAACGAAAATTAAAGATTAACTTATGTTTCTACAGTACTATCAGTCTTCAGACCCTAGACGCAACCGGCACGGCACTGCCCTTGTGCACAGGATCAACTCCTCCTGCACCATGCATTCCATAGTCGGTATCCCTGTAGCCTGGGCCATATCTGCTACTAAATATCCCAGCATGAAGCAACAAGACATATAGGAGCTCGGTGAAGGTGAGGATTATAATGAATGCTTCTAATACTCTGAGCCTCCATCCTCTCCATCCTCCTATGTTGATCTGCTTGCAAGCAAACCTGACCAGTTGAAAATAGGAAACTTTAGCTCACTCCTCCACTTCTAAAGATGATTGCCTTCGTGGGAAATCAAAGAGAGAATTACCCAAAAGCAAGGGCGGTCAAGGCCCAAGCTATCAATGAAGATGCCCCTGCTGCAGCCAGGCTATCATTTCTCCATGCCCTGATATGGTTTCCTCCTGCAAACTTTGACACTATGCCCACAACAGCAGCCAAAGTTGCAAAGGTCAGGAAGAAACTTGTTGCTCCATTTCCTCCAAAACCTGAAACAAGTCCTTCCATTAAACCCAAATCCAGTACAAATATAATACAGAACTCTGCTTTCCATTTTATAAACTAGGTGTTTGATAAATTGCCTGAGAGAAAGAAAGACAGAGGAAGCTTACTGGGGTGATTGGTTTGGCCATTGATATATTTGTTAATGCACCAACTAGCAAAACCCAGCACAATAGCATACATGGTCAAGTTGAGAAACAGCAATGGAGCTGCCATGTTCCTTCCTACAGCCATATTTCTTCCTCAGTTTCTTTCCTTTCTTACAGCTTTTGCTTCAACCTGCTTCTGCACTTCTGCTCAAGGCCAAAGTAGCTATCCAGGGAAGCTACTTATAGAGAAGCTGAGGGATTTGGAGGCAGCATACGTGTAAACCAATTAGGCTATGCATGCATGCTTCTGGGTACAGGTGGAAGGACACATGTCAAGCTGGTTATTACGTTGGGTCCTCTTCTTGGAATCTAGAAGTTTAGAAAGCAAACGGTGCGCAATATATATCCAGATAATCCAGTCTTCCGGATAATGTTTATCATGCTCTTCAGCCGGAGAATTGCTTTATCTACCCCACTGGCCCATTGACTAAAATCTTGGAGATTATTGAGAAACCCACGTTCAGGCTTTTGGTTATCTTTTCTTAATCTCTGCTAGTACTTCTAGATTTTTTAGAAGATGAGTTATCTCTCTTGCAAACCATATCAACCACCATTTGATTGGATACCAAGCATGTTCATGATCCAATAATAAGAGTTCAATGGTGTGACAGTTCAATTTTAATTTTGAATTCAACCACTAATATTAATCTCGCACCTCCTAACATATAGTTGTAATGTAATTGTCTTGTTATAAAAACATAACCACCCTTTGGTTGGATGCCAACCATGTTCATGATCCAATGATAAAGGTTTAATGATATGACAGCTTAGGTTTAAATTTGAATTTAACCAATAATACTAATCTCTCAACCCCTAACATGTAGTTGTAATGTAATTGTCTCATTAAAAAAACATAATCACCCTTTGGTTGGATGGTTATGGCCACCCAAATAAATATTAACATTACACAAAAATAACATAATTGTGATTTGTTTGGTTATTAAGAATAGCTTGTAGTTGTAATTAATAATTAATAATTAATAAGATAATTAATATTTATTATTTAATAATTTAATTAAAATTAATATATGAAATAATATTTTTATACAACTTAATTAATTATAAATTAATAAAATAAGATAAACTAAATACACTTATAATTTGTCGTGTCACCATAACAATGACCGGTTGTGTGTCCTTATATATGTAAAGATGAGACATTTTCAGGTTTTTCTCGATTTATATATGTAGACTGTGTCTAAAATCTAAATGGTTCAATTTGTATTTATCAATTATCACCCTTTGCCAAGATAGAACATTTCGAAACTCAAGCAAACTTCTAGGCCAATGCGGTGAAGGGTGAACTTTGAAAAATGGGCTTCGAAGACAAGATGAGTTCCTAGCTGTAGCCCCATTTCTAAAGCAAGTGCACACAAGTGAAATCCAAGTAAAAACAATAATAAACTAATTAAGCACCATAGCCCCAACGCCTTAACGATTTACAGTTTCAGACCCCTTGTGTTTGGTAGTTGGGACTTGGTACCTCGTGGTTCTTAAGCTCAACTCAGTCTCATGCCAGTGGCTTCTTTCTTAAGTTCATAAGCTGCACGAATCCCTCCTTGGAATTGTGCACCTTAATCATCTAAATGGTTTAGCAATAACTTTTTTAAGTAAGATAAAAGATTTTAAATTTAGAATCGTATTGTATATGACTAGAGTGGAAGAAGATATGAGAGAATATTGCTTTTAATTATATGACCTAACAAAAAAAGAAATTGCACATGCTAAAAAAGATAATTTCATTAATAAATTAAATAATTCAATGAGAATTTTCTTTCAATAATATTTTTCTTTTAGTAATATTTTTTTTTTTACTAAAAGTAAGTGATATTGAATTTAATCACACAACATATAAGTAAAGTGAGACAAAAAATAAAAAAAATATTATCTCTGATTATACAATCAAGATAAAAAAATAATTAAATAAAAAAAAACTTTGTTAATTAAAAATACAAAGATATTCTAATCCGTTACGGGAAATATAAGTAACTTTTAAGAGAATCCAATAGCATAGAACACTTAACATAGATAGACTCTTGCTATCCCACATCAGCTTAGATTCAAGAGAGAAACCTCAAGTGAAGAATTGCGCCAGAAATCAGTGGCCACAATCTAGTTTTAATCTAATACTAGATCTTGGACGTGGGAAAAATTGTCTTTTTGACACAATGTATTTGT